TAAATCATGTACACACACACATACACACCATCATCATCATCATCATCATCATCATCAGCAGCAGCAGCAGCAGCAGCAGCAGCAGCAGCAGCAGCAGCAGCAGCAACAGTTGTAAAAATCAAATGTCTCAAGCTGGACCTCAGAGGGCACAATGCTACAGCAATACTTCGTACTCATTTGAGTCTGTCCACTGGATGACAGAAGTCTTTGCTATTGAAGTAAGCTCGTGGGAAGAACTAGCTTTCTTTTAGGGCTGAAATAAGTCTGAAATAGGGGCCAACAGGGCATTATTCTTACCTTATAATGCATTCAAAGTGATTTCCCACATGAGTTGTACTTGTAGGTACACACTTGTTTCTTTCCCCGAATCTCTCAGCAAAAGAAGTAACAGCAGTGACCACTAGAGGGCACAGAGGCTCACCTGGATACTGGTCCCCCACTCATAGCTCCTACTCAGGGAGGCAGCAGCACCCAAAGCCAGCTTTCCCATCTGTTGTGGAGGGGACAGGCACCCAGACAGTGTTGCAAAGCATGTACTTGAACCCAGACCTTATAAGCCATGGTCGGCAATGTTTCACTCCTGAAAAAAACCTGTTTTGCTCATGTCCAACAGAGAGGGAGAGGAACAAGGACTTTGTGCATTCTGCAGAACTGCCTTCCTCTCAAGCCATTTCTGGGGGTGCTGGGCTAGGAACCAAAACAAAACACTCTTCAATAATTCCTGATTTCTGGGCGTATCCATAACACCTGCCGGGAGAGGGCTAGAACCTTGCTTGAGACCTGCTGCAGAGCCAGGCAGGAGCCAGAAGGAACCACTTCCCAGAGAGGTTCATTTTCAATTATTCACTTGGAAGCATTGGAAAATGCAATATGTACCATATAAAGCCACATAAAAGAATCTCATATGAGCTGGAGAGTTGGAGCAGTTGGTAAAGCAACTAAAGTGCTTACTTTGTAAGCACAGGGTCCTGAGTTTGGTCCCTAGACCTCTGTTGAAAAGTCAGAGGTAGCAGTGGTGATAAACACTGGTAATCTTAACATGGATGAGGCAGAGAGGTGAATCTAGCTAGCCATCCCTGCTTAATCGGCAAACTCTAGACCAATCTTGTCTCAAAATAAGGTGGACAGTCATCCCGAGGAACATGACTCAGAATGTTGTCCTCTGCCCTCCACATACACACACATGCATATACTGAATTGCAAACATGTGTGTGTCTACACACACATCACATATATAGCACACATATACACCTGAACACAGATGCGCAACTTCACACCTCGCTACATCCATCCAGAGAATACCAAATGACGATGTATCCTTTACTATACAACTATTAAATGTCTATTTTTCTGTAGTCCATTTAATTTTCTATATATATTCTTTTTTTGTTTTTTTTTCTGATTAAGTCTGTTTTATATGTTGATATAATTTTTTTCTTTTTTTAAATTTATTTATTAAAGATTTCTGCCTCCTCCCCTCCACCACTCCCATATTCCTCCCCCTCCCCCAATCAAAATACGCAGATTAAAGAAAGTGTTTTCACAATAAGTGTTTCACTTGTGATTTATTTTTAGTATACTGACAACAGATCAAGTGGTTGGGAGGTTAGAATCTCCCAAGGCAGCCCAGCTTCAAGTTAAGTTCTCTCTACTGCTTCTGAGTGTTATGAAAGAGAATTCCAGCAACACTTCTACTGACTTCAGATCTTTAAAGCATCTACTCAGGGACCCTTTGCCTAGTGTATTACTGGGCTAAGCCTGAAATCTTTATCTCTGTGGCACAGAGCATTTGATAGTTTCTTTTATAAGTGTATTCCAGTTTTCAATTTGTCCAAAAGACAAGTATCTTATGCTATATGTCATTAAGTGAACTCTACAGGAGCAAAGTGGTGGTAAGGATGCCCTAGTTGCTATTTAGTCACAAGGGAACAAGGCACCATGCTCCAGTTTATCCAACGTCTGTTGAGGAGGTGTGTGATAAATGATAGAGCAAGTTTAACCAGAGAAAGCTTTCTGTTCTGTGACCTGGATTCAGTTTTAGTCTTTGGAAGGTCTCAGGGGCAAATGCATTTCTCTAAAGTCTATACTTGTTCCCTGAAATCCCACTAATGCTACATTCTGGATTTGGTTGCAGATATTAGGTTACTGGATCCCTTTTAATATTCCTAAAGCTGAACTCATTGTCTCTGAGTCCACTCAGGCTACTTGGTCTCTATAGCTTGCTGCCCCGGCATTTCTAGGAGTGCAAACAGCAAGCCTGCATGGACTCCTCTTTTTCTCTCATGGTCATAAACACCAGGCCTCGGTAGCTACCCACTCCCAAACTCTCATACATATCCTGTCATTCTCAATGGTCCTTCCAACCTGTGCCTTAAGCCCTTGATAGTTTTTAAGGACTGTGGCGGTTTAAATGAGAATGCCCCCCATCATCTCTGCCATTTGAATACTTGGTTCCCAGCTGCTGGAGCTGTTGGAGGAGGCTTAGGAGGTGTGGCCTTCTTGGGAGAAGTACCTCACTGTGGGCAGCCTTTGAGGTTTCATTCTCTCTGATTCCTGCTTGAGTTTACAATGTAAGTTCTCAGCTTTCTTTTCCAGCTGCAATGCCTGCTTGTTGCTGTACTGACAGACTCTTCTCCCTCTGGAACTTTCAGCTAAAATAAATCCTCCCTTCTGTAAGTTGCCTTGGTCATGGTTTTTTATTACACTAATAGAAAAGCAACTAATAAAAGGACATTTTTCGGTACAATTTTTCTGATTCCTTCCTTCCGTCACACACTTCCTGATGGCAGTCTGAACAGAACTGCCTGGCTAAGCTCCAGTTACATGATACTACCACTGTACTGACAGTCTTGCTCATTTATGCTTCCCTTCAAGAACATCAAACCAGACAACCCCTACTTCTCATTTGAGCATGCCACTTTCTCTGAGGACATTCTTGACTCTTCCCTTCTTTGTCTCAGCAAGTGTTGTAATTTCTCCCCCTAGGAAGTTGTATCCTACACATCTTCTTCCAAGCAGACTCTGTTTTGGTGGCCACATGTCTAGGCCTTTTTCTACACTGGTTAGTAAGTTGCCTGTGGATGAAGGGCATGTTCTATTGTCAATCATCCCATTGCACACAGCATGATGTCTAGAAACAAGGAGGTTTACTTGGAGGCATGCCCTAGATTTTCCTCCCACTGCCTTTCTCCATGCTCCTATGAGGTAGGGGAAGAAGAATTGAATAGCAATGATGGTAACAGTATTCTGGTTGTGCCAAGTCAACCTCCTGAAGTGCCCGGGAATTAGAGCAGAAGAGACAAGTGGATGGGAGAGTCTTCTAAGCCTGCTGACATATAACCAGTATAAAGTAAAAATGAGTCAGGGCAGAGTTTCCTGTTGGTGCCACTTGCTGTTTCATCCCCAGTACCTGGCAGAATCTCTGTTATGTAACTTTTCAAGTGATATTTGCTGACCACACAACAGATGGATGGACTGACAGAAAAAAAAAGATTGACCCGACTGCCCATGCGCTTCCCATTTTCAGCTTCCAGTCTCTGCAGCGTGTGTATGTATAAGTATAGATGTGTTCTTCAGGCAGAGCTGAAAATTAGCTATTAGAGTTTTTCTTTCGCAACCAGCCACAGATAAAACATAAAGAGGGACTGGAGAGATTGTCCAGTCGTTTGGGAACACTTGCTATTCTTGCAGAGGATCCAGGTTCAATTGCCAACACCTGAAATGGATGGGTTATAACTGCCTCTAGCTTCAGCTCTAGAAGATCTGATCCCTTTTTCTGGCCTCTGATAATTCTACACACAAGTGATCTTAAAAAATAGAACATAATGATAACTACTTATGTTTGAAATTAGTAACACCCATAGATTCTAAGTTACTGAAATAAATCAGATATATATACACATACATGTATGTGTGTATATATATATAGTATATATGTGTATCATATATCATATATACACATATATATCCTGTATATACACATGTATGTATATATATATACAATATATATTTGTTTTTATTTACTAAAAGAAATAAAATCCTTGTTAAGTCTGTAGGCCTCCTGCCTGAAAATCCTATCATTTTTGTATTTTAAAAATTAGAAAGAAAAGAATTAGTTATTGAGTAACAGGTAGAAAGAATTTATTTTGTACGTCATTCTTACAGATGGTAACTCCAGGTGAACTTGGGGAACCTAGGCTTGGTTACCAGAGAGATTCAGGGTCCTGCTTCCTGTAGCTATGCAGAGCAGGAATGGGCAGGAGGCTCCAACACTGTCTGACCTGGTGGAGGTGGGCTAGGCTTTTTCTTCTGGTTTATATTCTTCCAGATAAGCCTGGCCCTCTCTTCTTTTTCCAGAGAAGTACAGCTAATTCTATTTTTATCTGTGATGGACACCGCCATAGTCACTCACTGTAAAGCAGACAAAAGCCAGTGGAGGGATGAAAACAATCCCAAATAGATCTTTCTTGGACTGATTTGTATCAGGGTTATAAACAATTCTGCGTATGATGGCAAAGGAGACAGGCAGGCACTTGTGGACAAGGAGAACAAAGAATCCTTTCCCTTTCTTTCCTTTTCCTTCCTCATTTTGTTTCTGGTCTATGTGCTAAAGCAAACATCCTGGGAGCTGAAAGCCTTCTGCAGACATTTGCCTGCTCTCTTTTTTTTTTTTCTCAGGTATCTGCACCTTGCATTCTGCCCTCCATCCTTGCAGGGCACATGCTATAATGTAAATCAGTGCTGCCAACATGACTCATTATTTTCCTCTCGGAATGGAATATGAACACATCAATTATGTGTCAGCCAGCTTCCCAGTGTGCACCCTTGTCGCGCTGACCTCACTCTGCTTTTGTATTGCCGGGGTACTCCTGACAGTTGTCCACTGAGTTAGCTCCCCACATTTCTCCCCATTATCTTCTCGCGTTAACACCTTCCCAGACTTCCCTTTTATTAGCCCTCCTGGCGCGCAGACTCAGGGAGACTGCACTGGGGGCACTCACCACTGCTTGTAGTCCGCATCACAGTTGCAGTAGTATTTGGGGTCTGTGCAGTTGCGCTCGATGCCGCAGGCACACTTCTGAATCCCAGGCTCTGAGCCTCCCCAGTAGTAGTGCTTCTCATTGGCTTTGCCAACCCACCACGTGTAAGGACTTCCATCTGCAAGGAAGGGGAAAAGCACAGTTAGAGAGGGACCTAAATTGCATCCTTATAATCTCACCCTTGTTCTCTCATCCTAGGAACTATAGCAGTGTCTGATAGACCTAATGCCACATGCCCATCTCTAACGTAAAATTAGTTTAATAATAGGAACATTTAATTAAAACATCAGACAGAACGTCAAAGTTCAAGTTTCTTCTTTCTCTTCATACATCTTGGTGGACAAAAGCTTTGACATTCAAGCTTCTATAACTTAGGTATTAATTCAGGGAATGGGAATTCTAGATGGCGTCAGGCTGCATTGAAGGCATATGAACCATTCTGCAATATACAGCTAACTCCATAGATGATTTTGCTCTTCTGAGAACTGATAGAAGTATGGAGATAAAAGATGGCTAGAGTTAAGTGTAGGCTTTGTCATGTCTTAAGTTTGACCTCTTAGTTTTATTTATAAAGAGCTTCGGTCTAGAAAGGCTAAATCCTTCTTTTATTAGCCAGGAGATTTATGCCTCACATCAAAAGTCTAACACCATATCATACCATACTAGCTATCTGTTATGAAGTCATCTCTCTGTGTCCATAGCTTCTATGTCCACACAATCAGCAAGCTGGGAATCAAAACAAACATACACAGACCTCTCATAGTGATTCCTTCAGTAACAGTGTGCAAGAACTATGGACCCACATTGGAGCATCGGACAGAAATCTCAAGGTCCAAATCAGGAGCAGAAGGAGAGAGAGCACGAGCATGGAACTCAGGACTGCGAGGGGTGCACCCACACACTGAGACAATGGGGATGTTCTATCGGGAACTCACCAAGGCCAGCTGGCCTGGGTCTGAAAAAGCCTGGGTTAAAACTGTTCTCTCTGAACATAGTTGACAATGAGGACTACTGAGACCTCAAGAACAATGTCAATGTGTTTTTGATCCTACTGTATTTATTGGTTTTGTGGGAGCCTAGGCAGTTTGGATGCTCACCTTACTAGACCTGGATGGAGGTGGGTGGTCCTTGGACTTCCCACAGGGCAGGGAACCCTGATAGCTCTTTGAGCTGATGATGGAGGGGGACTTGATTTGGGGAGTGGGAGGGAAATGGGAGGCGGTGGCAGGGAAGAGACAGAAATCTTTAATAAATAAATAAACAGAAAAAACTATTTACACAGCGTTTACCTTACATTAGCTATTAAAGTTGATCTAGAGATGATGCAACATATTGGAGAAGATGTGGGTACATAGGTTATACAAAGTGTTACCCCATGTGATATGAGGAACCTGAGTATCTTGTCTACAGATGTTGGGATATGCAGGAACTCCTGGATCCAAATCCCCTATCCATTCCATTCATTTATTTATCCCTTTAGCTGGTCAGCAAATCTCGTTGAGTTCTGATTATGTGCCAACCAGTAGAACAACAGAGGAAAATGCAGGTTGCAGGGAATGGGGAAACAGATGTATGAGTGCTGTGAGTGTGGGACGAGGTGTGATGAGGTAAAGGTCATGGTGACTGCTTTCTCTGAGCTGTGTCTCGTAGGTTGATTTGATCTAAGTGAACTGAAACATAAGTGGAAAGGAGTCCTATATAAAGGGAACAGTAAGCAACAATTCATACAGAAGAGTTTTATATGCAGTGTGTATGCAGAAGCAAGCATGTGGTGCTAAGTAGGGCTGGGGAGAAGAGTTGGGGAGTGTAGCAGCAGAACACAGTATTAGATAGCAAATGAGGGCTGAGCTGGAAAATCTTTGTCCAAAGGAGAAATTGTTTCACACTGACTACTTCTTGCCTTTTAGGGCTACTTTCCTCCAGCTTATAAAGCCCGAACTTTATCCTGAAATAATAGGAGGCCACAGGAGGATTTGGAGCAGGGAATCATTACTGTTCAATTCGGGTTTTAACAATATAGAGTAAGATAAAAGATGAATTTCTATGTGATGATATCAGGGAGGAGAGGCTTTAAGGTCTCTTGATAATGGACGAGATAATTAATAATGTGAAACTAGGAGAGAATAAAGAAAACAGAGAGCATCTGGAATATCTGGGGTAGATGGAATTTAGGAGAGGAGGGGGTTAGGAGGCACTGTGAACTCACTCTGGGCTTCTGGTCTAGGAAACTAAGAGAATACTAGCATGCTCTATTTGGGTAGATGATATGGGATTCCCCTCTGTATGCTGTGAATATGTTTTATTACCATTGGTTAATAAGGAAATTGTTTTGGCCAGTGACTTAGCAGAGTAAAGCCAGGTGGGAAATCAGAACGGGGGGGGGGGTGCAGAGTCAAAGAGACACCGTGTAGCTGCTGAAGGAGACAGATGCTGGACCGTTAACAGTAAGTTACAGCCTCATGCCAATAAAAATATTAATAGAAATGGATTAATTTTAGATCTAAGAGTTAGTTAAGAAGAAGCCTGAGCTAATAGGCCAAGTGTTATAATTAATACAGTTTCTGTTTGATTATTTGGGTCTGGACAGCCGGGAAATGAACGAACAGTATCCGTCTACAGGAAGACATTTTCCATTCAATAAAAGTTGAAAAATAAGATGACAAGTCTGGCACATCCTCCAGGCAATCAGATGCAGACATCCAGCCCCAGGAGCATTTCCTGAGCTGAAAGTCTTGTTTCAGCATCCATCAGGGCAAGCTGGAAAATACTGGGAGAGGCAGAGACACCCGTGCGATCTTTAAGACTACAACAGCATCACAAACGGTGCTGGAATTCCACGGGAGGCTGCCAGAGAAGTGGAAGGAAAATGAATCCACTCTAAGAGAATGCCAGCAAGAACAGCCTGGAGGTAGAAAGGATGGGAAGCGAGACTGAGAAGATGCTGGCCACGGGGCCTTTTTTCTTCCATTTCATGTGCTGAGAGCACAGTATGAATCTTCCTTTCTTAACAAAGTGTCTAAGTGTTTGAAACAGCATGCTAGTCTTAACTGTGGTGCTATCCAGAAATGTCTAGAACCCATTCCCCTTGTTTAATGGAAACTTTTATTTATTAGCAATAGTTCTGTTTCCTCTGTTCCTAGTGCCACTGACATCCATTCTCTTTGATTCTCTGATTTTGCTCTTTTAGGATCCTGACACAATTGCATTCAGAATGCACGTCTGTGTACAATGCAATTTCCTTTCTGCTTTCTCTTCCTGTCAGTCTTTATCCCATTTTACTGCTTCTATACTGAAATAACACTATTCTTGAAAAGGAAGGAAAAATCTACAAGAGGTAAGAATGTGGAAGAATTTTGGGGACATGCTAAGAGGACAGATGGACCTTAGAAGAAACTAGGAATGACAAAATTAATGGAGATAGGGCCAGCCAGTAAGCCAAAGAGGGAATCCATCAAAATCTCTAGGCCTGTGGGTGAAATTCCATTATAAGAATCTACCTCCACCTGTCCTTTCAGTACAGGCACACTTGTGTCTGTCAATGCTCTGAAGAAAGACGTGGGAAAGCCTTGCATTCTTCAGTTACCAACTGGGTCATCACAACATCTAAATAAATAATGTCATAGTTATCATGATGGTGTAATGCACATACTTCTGTGATACCAAGTGGGATGCTGTATTAGTTTTCCTCAAGAGCAGATTTGTTAAAATGCAGGCTGTTTAAAGTCACTGAAAGTGGTTCTGGATTCAGGGTCATGCTCTGAGTTTTGAGGGAATCAATACTCTAACTTGAAAAGGAGCGAAGTGGGTGTTCTGTTCCATATAAGTACCCAGATTTCTCTGAATTTAGAAAGCTTACTGTTTTCCATATTATGATCGTTATGGGAAACTTAAGAACTTGATTTGGTAGGTATCTGATAGTGAAAGATTTCCCTTCTGTTTCAAAGGGAGAGAGAAGCCAGCTTTCCGAGCTGAGGGGCCAATCTGCAGCTGTATCCTGCCTAGAGGGGCCCTGTCTCAGCAGAGAAGCCATTTTGTTTTGAACTCTGTCCTCGAATGATTTTGCTTCAGGGTTTCTTCTCTTTCTGTCAGGGTCAGGGGAAAGTACCAGAGTTTTGACACTTCCTAATGTCAAAGCCATGGCCCATGATACAAAATTGTTTTCCTTATGTAATGTCCAGTTCCTTTTTTAAAGGTTTGCAAAGTGTGCTTTATGGGAACTATCTACTCTATGCCAGGAAACGTGCAGGTGATTTGTCCTTTGAGCTGTCACAGGTCTTCTGAGTCTCTCTCTGGCTGTGTGACAGTGGAAAGGGGAGTCTGAGAAGATACTGTGTTGGCTGTGCATGGGAACTGCTGAAGAAATCTGCCTGCGGAGATCCATTGTCTGATGAGAATTTCAGTACTGTGGAGAGGTTGGAACATTGCAGGTCCACAGGCTTATGTTGGTCTTAGTTCTGGCTCTCTGGACTAGCCATTCCATGCCATCCTCTGAGTCAAAACCAATGCCTTGTGACAACAGATCAAACATTTTAGAATCTATTGACGTATTAGGCAACCAGGACTACCAATCCACAAGCCAAGTATGTCCTCAGATAGCATCTTAGGCTTACAAGAATGGCTTCCCTCATGATGTACCTGCCTCTCTCAAGTACCCACCAATGCATTTTAAATTTGCCTTATTTCTGTCAAACTATAAAAAACTTCATAAAACTGCTTCCACATTGGGACATGGAAATTGAGGTAACCCAAACCTGTGTTTCAAAGCCCTGGTCACTCACAATGACTCCAGCATAAACTATCTTTTATTCCCTTTAAGAAGAAAGCTGTGGTTTTTGTGTTGATAGCAGGAAGCAGGAAAAGGTAGATAGTACTGGGCTGACTTGCAAAAGGCACCCTAGCCAGATAAAAAACTTTACTTCCTTAGCTATTGAATCCAATTTGAGTATTTATTGTTTAGCTGACTAATGATAAATGTTTTTTCCCCAGTAAATTTTGGTTAGTGTCATTGTTTTAGAAAACTAGGAGGTGCAATACTTTCTGGCTGGGGTGCAGGGATAAAATAGAGCCAAATAGAAGTGGAGTTAATAGACCAACCAAGAGGAACAACTTATTCAGTCC